AGGTCAATAATTTTACCATCCTCCCGATCACTCACCCATGCTCATAACTTTTTAGTCATCTCTGAATTTTCCTCCTTCATCCTCCACAAGTAGCCAACCAAGCTCTGTTGATTTCTCCTCCCAAATATCTCATCTGTCTCTCATTTCTGTTTCCATGGCCACCACCCTAGCTCAGGCCAATGAACAAGTTTTTCAGGCTCCATTCCCTTCCTCCTCCAATGTTTCCTGTCTGCAGCTGCCAGTCTAATCTGTTCACGGCTCTAGTCACATCACTCCCCAGTTCATAATCTTTCAGAGGCTCCCATTGCCTCGGAATGAATAAGGTCCAGACTCCATAGCACGACCTTCAAGGCCTTTTCCAATCTGAATCTATCATTGTGTAATGAGGACTGCCATATGCATAGAGCACATTGGTGCTAAAATTTGTTTAATATTTATTAGGTTCCTGCTGTATGCACAGCAGCTACTGAGAAGATAAAAAAGATTTAAATTATGCCCAGTTCCTGCCCTCATGGATTATTTAGTAGGGTGATAACATCTCCCCTACCAAACTATCCCCCTCTCCTATAGATAGCTAGATTACAAAATATGACATGATACATGCTTGAGAGAGTTACAAAACAAAGTACAATACAGTTTCTGAGGGAGAAGGACACTGCCACGTCAGGAGCTGGGGAGGTACACCAGGTGTATCATGCTTGTCTTAAAGGATGGACCAGAATTCAGTAGTTGGAAATAAGGGAAAGAAGACATTCCAGGTGTAAGGTATGCACACCTTGTGCAGAAACACAGAGGAGGGAGAGCCCCAATTGTGTTTGGGAGACAGAAATTAGTCCACTCTGGCTGGATTCCAGAGGTGTGGAGGGGTTTGTAATAGAAGATGAGGCAGGAAAGTGAGAGTGGTGTGGCTTGTGAAGGTCCTTGGACATCACACGGAGGCTTTGACTTTCACTTGGGAGATAAGAAGGAGCTGATGAAGGTTTATGAGCTAAGGAGTGCCAGGACCAAAGGAAAGATAATTTCAGTAATAGTAAGACGGACAGATTGACATATATCAATATAAACGGGCTAGGAAAGATGAAGGCAAGAAGATCTGTTAGGAGATTATTCCTGCCTCATCTTGCACCATCGCCTACTCGCCAGTCAGACTCAACGTCTTGCCATTCTCTCAGTATGTCCTGCCCTTTCCTGCCTCTCTGTTTTTGTATATGCCATTCCCCATATTGGCATGCTGAATGTCATCCTTCCCACTACTCTGCCACCCACACCATCTTTTCAAGATCTAATTCAAATTGGACCAACATTCTATTAGAGGCAGCATGGTGGCACAGCAGATAGTACTGAGTCTGGAGTCAGAAAGACCACAGTCCAAATCTGGTCTCACATACCAGCTGTGTGAACATGGGCAAGTCCTATCCCTCTCCCAGACTCAGTTTCCTCATCTGTAAAATAGGTATAGTAATAACATCTACCTCTCAGGGTTGTTGTGAGGACTAAAGCACTATATAAATTCTAGTTATTGTTATTATTGCTGTTATTGTTATTATTTATTAAAGGGCATGGAAAGACACATAGAGGTTGTAAGTAGGCTGAGGCACATTACCAGTCTTGACCTGCATGTGCAAAGTTGTATAAAAGGCATCAAGTACCAAGAGATGAACTGGTCATACAGTGGGAATGATGGCTAACAGATGGACAGCTGGGGTATTGCACTGGTGTCCATAAATTATTAATAGACTCATATGTGCCTCCAGGACCTTGGGTCCATCCATCCTCTGTAGAGGATATCTGGAAAGAAGTGGAATAGGATTGTGCAGAGTGAGCAGAGGTGTCCAGATGTGATCAAAGGTGGATGGGTTGTGATGGGCCATGGGGGAGAACGTGAGATCCAGTATCCATCAAAATAACAAAATGCTACAGTCATTAATAGTTCCCACTTTGTTCTCCTCTGGAATCATCTATCCAGAGCTGGAAGGCACCTCAGAAGCTATGGGGTCCAACCCTTTCACTTTATAGATGAGGAAACTGAGAGGCAAGAAAGTGAATGACTTGCCCAGTCACACAGGTAACATCAGAGGTAGATTTGGGGTCCAAGTCTTCTGATTCTGGGCCACTTTTCCACCGTACAATGGTGAGGGAGACCTTCCATTGGACTTTCCAGACGGTATTCAACACGTCATAGATTCTGATCTACAAAGAACTTAGAAACTTCAGCCTTATCCCTCCATTTGACAGATGAGGAAACTGAGCTAGTGATGCTTTTTCAGGCAACAACTAAAATTTATGTGGTAATTTTATGTTTACAAAGTGCTTCCTACACCCTAGCCACCTTCCTACCTGTCCGTCTGCTACTGCCTGCCCTCCCCCCATCAGAGCCCATGCCCCAGGGGAACTAACCTTTTCAGCTCAGCAACTCCAGTCAGCCCTGAGGTCCATTGTATTCTAATTTATGAGCGTCTCACATGGCTCCTTATGTCCAGCCCACCTCTGCCATGTTTCACTTTACAATTCCTTTATCTTCTTCTTGCCTGTACCCCTTACATATACTCTGCCCATTCTCCTTTCCACCTCTGGAAATGTAAGCAAATCAATATTGTCGTTGCTTCTGGAAAGGGTCGATCTATTCCCTTATGGCTCCACTTGGGGGCAGCTAGGTGGTGCAATGGATAGAGTGCCAGGCCCGGGTCAAGAAGGCCCATCTTGGGGCAGCTAGGTGGCACAGTGGATAGAGCACCAGCCCGGGATTCAGGAGGACCTGAGTTCAAATCTGACCTCAGATACATAACACTTATTAGCTGTGTGACCCTGGGCAAGTCACTTAACTCCATTGCCTAGCCAAAAAAAAAAAAAGAAGAAGAAGAAGACTCATCTTCCTGAATTCAAATCCACCCTCACCCACTTACTAGCTGTATGACCCTGCGCAAGTTGCTTCACCCTGTTTGCCTCAGTTTCCTCATCTTAAAATGAGCTGGAGAAGGAAATGGCAAACCACTCCAGTATCTTTGCCAAGAAAATCCCAAATGGGGTCAGGAAGAGTCAGACACAACTGAAACAACACAACAATAACAGTAATAGTCAGAATTTATATAGAGCTTTAATATTAGCAAAATACTATACATATGTTATTTCATTTTATCCTCATAACAACCCTGGGAGGTAGGTGCTGTTATTATTCTCTTTTTACAGAGAGGGAAACTGAAGCAAACAGAGATTAAATTACTTGCTCAGGATCACACAACTAGTGAGCGGATGAGACTAGATTTGAACTCAGGTCTATCCTGACTCCATGTCCAGCACTCACCCATCACACCACCAGGCTCCTACAGCATTGAAGCTCCAGATAGATACCTGGAACTCCACACAGCTAAGTGGCACAGTGGATAGGGACTAGGGTTAAGAAGTCTCCTTTTCTTGACTTCAAATCCCTCCTCAGACACTTACTAGCTGTGTGAACCTGGGCAAATCATTTAACTGTGTTTGCCTCAGTTTCCGCATCTGTAAACTGAGCTGGAGAAGGAAATGGCAGACCATCCCGGTATCTTTGTCAAGAAAACCCCAAATGAGGTCACAAAGACTCTGACATGACTGAACAAGAAAAATGGCTCCACTTACCACCCCTGGGACTTTCCAATTCAAAACACCCTTGGAGACCACCATTCTCCTCTAAGGGTTCTTCCTCCTTCTGGAACATAAGCAAGCTCCTCGAGGGCAAGAACTGTCTCTCTCCAGTATTTGTTTCCCCAGCCCTATGTACACAAGTAAGCTTTTAATAAATCCTTTCTCATTCATTACATCCATTATCTTATTTGATCCATACAATAGCCCTGGGAGGCCTGTTCTATGGGTATTATTATCTCCATTTCACAGAGGAGGAAATGGACGCTCACCGAGGTTAAATGAGTTCCCCTTTCAGATTGCCATCATATACTCTGCAGAGATCTTATCTATCCCTGGATGTATGTTGTCTCTCCCACAAGAATGGGAGCTCACTGAGGCAAGGGAGTATGACTGTGGATTAGGGGATTTGCTTGATCTGTCTTTTTTTGTATCCCTTGTGTTTAGCACAGGGCCCGGCATATAGTAGGTGTTTAATAAACGCTTCTTAACTGACTAACTTGCCCGTGGTCACCCAGATAATAAGTAAGAGATAAGATTGTATTTACAGCACTTAGCACAGTGCCTGGCACAAAGTAAACACCGGAAAAAATGCAGCTGAGGGAAGTGATGGATTAATAGGCGCGATGAGACACACTTTGTTCGACATGGTCAATGTGGGAATTTGTTTGGCCTGACTGTTTATTTGTTGTGAGAGTTTTGGTTTTGATCTTTCTTTTTTCTTTCTTTCTTTCTCTTTCTTTCTTCCTTCCTTCCTTCCTTTTTTTCTTCTTTCCTTACTTCCTTTTTCTTTCCTTTCTTTCCTTCTTTCTTTTTTACTTCTTTTCTTCTTCCTTTTTCTCATTTTCTTTCCTTTCCTTCTTCTTTGTTTCTTCTTTCTTTTTCTTTCTTTCTTCTTCTTTCCTTTCCTTCTTTCTTCCATTTTCTTTTCTTCTTTTGTTCTTCCTTCTTTTTTCTTTCCTTCTTTCTCTTTCTTATTTTCTTTCCTTCTTTCTCTCATTTCTTTCTTTTTCCTTCCTTCCTTCTTTTTCTTTCTTCTTTTCCTCCTTTCTCCCTTTCCTTCTTTCTCTTTTCTTCCTTCTTTCTTTTTCTTTCTTTTCTTCTTATTTAAAAGAATAAATGCTTGTTTGATCAACCAACTGCTTCACCCATGATCACATACATAATAAATAGCAGCTCAAGTTGCATCAGAAGGAAGTCTTTGTCTTCAGAGAATTGAGAGAGCTATTGCAAAGGATTTCTTGTCGCTCCCCTTTCTTTACTAAGGAAGCCTCTATAAACCTGGATGTCCAAGATTGGTGCTTTCTCATTCATTCCGTTGTACTGCCAACATGTCCTCCTGGAGGAATTATCTCTTCACTGCCATGATTGCCTTTGTTTTTTAGTTTCTTCTTGGGATCTGAAGCATGGAAAAGCATTCCTTGCCAAAAGCAATAGAGTGGAAATTTGTGAGCCATCCGATCTCATCTCAATACTATTGTCTGTTGGCTGGCTGGGCAGCACTGGCCAAGGTGCCTCATCAGCCTGTGCCTTCCCTTGCCCATCTGTGAAGCAGAGAGAATAATGCCAGCTTAGTTCAGGAGAACTTAGCAGAGAGAAGAGCGGAAATCATGTTTGCGGAGCAAGTGGTAAATACAAAGTGTTATCTGAACGCTGACTAATAAGAATGTTGGCCAACTTCCTGGTCTGTGAAATAGGGTTAATGATACTCTGCCCCATCAAAGCTCCAGGGGGTTGTGAGCCTTAATGAATACTTGCAGAGCAGCTGAAGACTGCCAAATAAGAGGTTCTGCAAAATCGTCTACTAGCGCTATTATTAATGCTAACTTATTTTGAACAGGAAAGAAACTAACCTTTTCATCATCCACTTAGCAACAAATGGAGGACTCCCCCTAGTTTGTCCATGCTGGGAATTTGCTCTCTTCTAAAGACATCCTTAGCCAGGCTTCTCCTGGTAGTTTTCAGCTATCAACTCCAAATGGAATCCAGCTGACTCCATTTGCTGCCATTTTCCAGGAGGTAAGGAACGAAGACTGGAGGATCACTTGTCAGCAATGCTGTAAAAGGGATTCGTGGTCAGGAATGATGGATCGAACTAGAAGTTCTCTGAGATCCTTTCTGGCTCTGAGATTTGGTGACCCCATAATTCTGTGAATTATGAACTTGAACAACATAAAGTTCAAGTATATTGAAGGCAAAAAGATCCCAAGAACTTGTTAAAGAAAAAAAAGGACATTGGCTTGGGAACCTGGGGGAGGGGGAAGGAGGATGAAAGGGCTTGGGTCCTTGTCTCCCGGTGCCCCTGTCAAACCCTGACCAAATCACATAGTGACTTGGATCTTAATTAGAGACAACTACATAAGGCACTGGGCTTGGCATCAAGGAGACTTGAGTTCAAATTTTGGCTCACATACTTACTAGTTGCATAATCTGGACAGGTCACCTACTCTCTGGCCTCAGTTCTCTTATCTTTAGAAAACAGAGATTAAAAAAAAAAAGCACACACCTATAGCATTGTTCTGAGGATCAAATGAGTTGTTGTTCAGTTGTTTCCATCGCATCTGAGCCCATTTGGAATTTTCTTGTCAAAGATAGTGGAGTGGTTTGTCATTTTCTTTTCTAGCTCATTTGACAGATGAGAAAACTGAGGCAAACAGGGTGAAGTAACTTGCCCAGAGTAACAAAGCTAGAACAGATTTGAACTCAGGTCTTCCTGGTGCTCTATCCACTGTGCTATCTAGCTGCCCATCAAATGAATAACATATATGAAGTGTCTTGCAACTTTAAGGTGCTATATTAAATGCTAGCTATTATTATTATTTCCTCAGCTTTAATTGAATTGAAGTGGAAGATTTCAATACTCAAATGGATTTGTCATCTTGCTGATTCAGGAGTTCCTTCCAACAAACCATCCATGTTCTCTCACCCTCCCATGTCACTGGATCCCCATTCAGCATTGAAAATGACCTTGGAGACCATCAAGTCCAACTGCCAGGGTCAAACAGTGGTTTACATATAAAACCAATTCAAAACAAAACAAAAAACCACCCACAAATGTTTCACCCAACACAGAGTCAAAAAGTTAAGGGACGTACAAAATGCACGACTAGTGGTTGAATGAAGTGCACAATTTATTGTGATGCATCCTTCCAACATCGGGCAGATCTTTTCCTTTGTTAGCTCAGAGCCTGTACAGATGTTACGAACTTGAAGAACAGTCTGTAACAGGAAGGCTGGCAGAGTCTCAGATACTCACTAGCTAAGTGACCTTGGCCAAGTCACTTAACTTCTGTCTGCCTTACTTTCCTCACTGTACAGTGGGATAATGAGAGCATCTACCTCTCAGGGTGGCTGTGGGGGCCAACTGAGATAATATTTGTGAAGCACTTTGCAAACCTTAAAGTGCTATATAAATATTAGCTATTAGTTTATTCATAAGGAACCAAACTTTGGAGGCTTTTCACTGATGGTGAATTTTACTGAGGAGTGTATTTTTTGATCTGTCCTCCCTTTTCTTTTCACATCAAAAGTATCTCCATTAAAATGACTTCTCTCTAAGAGCTTGTTTAAAGACATGGTATGTTGCTTAAATCTAAGGAGGTTAACCTCCAGATCTGGTGCTCATGAAGTCAATTGAGGCAGAGACAGAAATAACATAGAGAAGGAAAACCAGCCTTTTTATTCATAGTCAGTCTTCTAATCGCATATAATTGAGCGACCAAAGCTTTAATTTAGAAGCTTTTCTATTATAGCCTCTCTCTCTATCTTTAATGTGGGTCAGTGGGAGAAAAAATCATGACATCAGAAGGGATGCGGTTACTGAAAACTATGACAGAAATTGACCTCCTGTTTTTCTGAGATCCCAGAGAGTCTCCATTTTGTGTGAAATTATAACAAAAAATGGCTCTTCCTTGGTTTGTGTGTGTGTGTGTGTGTGTGTGTGTGTGTGTAAGTGTGAGTGAGCATGTATATGTATGGGTATATATGTCTATAAATGTATAAGTGTGTATGAGAGTATATGTGTGTATGTGAATGTGTGTGAGAGTATCAATGAATGGAAATGTACATGTTGACCTCAGTTCTTAGGAGCAATGCTTCCTTCTGATGCTTTTTGAAAATTCAAATTTGTAGGCCATTCATTTCTTCTTGTCCCATAATCTTGTTGCTAGGAGCATTGGTTTCGCTAGGACTTATGGGAGATAAGTATGTCTACGTAACAACTAATGAGAAGCAATAGCCATGTTTTAGGAATGACATTGATGTTCTGGAGAGGGTTCAGAAAAAGGGCAATCAGAACATGGAGACGACTGGAATGCCCACCAAACACCGCCATCTTCAATAGCCTAATTTAACCTGTTACAGCAGAATTTAGAGAGATTTAACTGGGAGCGGTGAAGACTTGGGGACTGAAGGAGACCTGATTGTCAGTTTCAAGTATTTGAAGGGTTATCTTGTGAAGCAGAGATTAAATTTTTTTCTGCTTGGCTCCAGATTGCAGAAGTATAGTATTGGGGAGGGGACCAGAAGAAGGAGATAGACAAGGGAGAACAGATTACAGAGGGGGTAGGTTTATAGTTTTAAGGATAGAAAAACTCTTTAACAACTGTACAAAAATGAAATGGCCTATGTTGGGAGCTGAGATGGAAACCAGCACTGGCCCCCATGAGCTTTGCCCAAGGATGCTGAGATGAGTAGGGGGTAATACTGACACACTTCTTCTCTCTAGGGCACCAACATCCAAGGAGGTTCAGTTTCTCCTCAGGGTGGTCACACTGCAGGGATAGGCAGAGGATCACCCGGAAGAAGATACATACCCACCCACCTACCCGTCATCACAACCCTGAAAAGGTAGTTTTTCTGTTATTTCCATCATCTAGGCTCCTTTCTCTCATCATGACATTGGTATGAACACATTTAACCAAAGGAGTCTGTTCACCAGAGGCCTAGCACTTGCAATAGCCTGAACACTTGGGATCAGTGGAATGATTGGTATATACCATCCTCAGGGTATCCTGGGTTCTCTGTCACCACACACACACACACACACACACACACACACACACATGCATAGATAATGTATTTTAAAATTAAGTCAATATGTGGCTAACAGGGATGCTTGTATATGGATTAGTGATTTGTTTCTATTTAAGTTTGACACCACTGGTCTAGGACATTCCCGAAGAGACTTCTGCACTCAGTCTATCAGATTAGTGAAATTAATCCTAAATTATAATAAGGTACCTTATGCTAAAGTGTCTGGGAGAATAGAGCCAGTCTATAGCCAGGTTCTCAACCCAATTAAACTTTCCAGCTGACTTCCCCCCAAAGTCTGTCTGTTCCCATGCCTGTTGTTGAACATCTGGATTCTGTCTGATGTTTACTTCCATTTGGAGAGTGAAAGGTTACAAGTATCTTCTGGTTTGAGAAGGCCTTCTTCAAGGCCTGTTTCATTTCTCAGGGGCCAACATGAAGACCATTAAAATAAACATGGCCAATCCTATCCTATCAACTCTAGGACATGGTAATTATCAACAGTGCTCATTTTCCAAGACCCCATGTCTTTTTAGAGTTCAATTCAAGAGATACTTTTTTGAGTGCTATGCTATGCAAAGAATTGAGCTTCTCTCAGGAAAATTCCTTCAGGGAAGTAGGTTGGGGACTTGTAGGAGAGAGTGCATGCACTTGAAAACAAATAGGTTATTTCTTTACCTTGCTATTTAAAGATGTGTTAAAAGATTGGGAATTTCTTTTTCATCTTACAGAATCATTAAAAAATATCCAGTGTTGGAAGGGACCTAAGAAGTCATCTAGTGTAATCTGATGCAGAACATGAATCCAATTTACAACTTGTTATAGTGGTAGGGCATTGTTGTGTAGTAGGATGCACAGCAGGCTGGTTGTCCAGAGGGATGTGGGTTTAAACCTGGCTCCACACTTTAAAAAAAAAGTATATATTTTAATTAATAAGCATTTAATTTTCCATTCCTTCCCATTCCATCCCACCAAAGGAAAAAAAAAGAATTCTTAAAACAAATTTGTAAATTTGCACAGTCAAGCAAATCAAAATCTCGCATTGACCATGTCCAAAAATATGTTTCAGTCCATCAACTCTTTGTCGGTAAGGGAGGTAGCATGCTTAACATGGATCCTCTGGAATCACTGTATTTGTTTTTACAACGTGGTTGCTTTTGTATAAACTGTTCCTCTGGTTCTTTTCACTTCACTCTGCATCTATTCATCCATGTCTTTTGAGATTTATTTGAAACCTTTCCTTTTGTCTCAGCTCCACATTTGATAATTATGTATCCTGGACAAGTGATTTAATCTCTATGAGACTTTGTTGTCTTTTCTATAAAACTGAAAAAAATAATGTTGTACTATTTAACTTATGAGATACTTGGGAAAAAATAATTCTACACATATTAAGCTTTATAGACTGTTGATATACTTATTATCAGCAAGTGCTTATCCACACCCTGAATATTCAGTACTTTGAAAACAACAGTGCAAATGTGCTCTGACCAGGGCAGAGGATGGCACGACATTCATTCATCCACTCACTCATTTAACAATGAATGGATTTTAAAATCAAGAGCAGAAAGCTCCAAACTAGTTTTTGGCCTTTTTGTTCTCAGAGTCAGTGAAGAGTTTACTCTGAGATCTCTTATCGAGAGACGACTTTAGTAACAGAATGAGTTATTTTAGTTGTAAGAAATGGTCAATTCAGAGGAACTTGAGAAGAATTTTAGGAACTGACGTTAAGTGAAATAATAGAATAATTTAAATTGGGACCATAACAATGTTAAGGGAAACAGCTCAGGAATGTTTCTGAATTCGGATCAACGCCGTGGACAATTTCCTGACTTCAGTGGACTGAGGGATGGAACAGAAGAGACCAGAAAGCACAAAAGAGACCATTGGATTTTGCAAAATGTAAACACTTATGCACAAATAGAATCAATGGGATTCAAGTCTGTAGGATGGGGTTTGCCCCATCACTGGGCAAAGCAACAGAGTCCTGCTCCAGCGCCAGCAAAAAGACCCCTGCAATCTCCTTCTGACGGTTGTTCGACCTCCTTGCCGCCTGTGGGCTGAGAGCTGCTCCTGGGGCTGATTCAGTAGCTCTCAAGGCCTGCCCTGGGTTTGCTGGGGCCAGGGCTGTGCTGGCATGGCCTGCACTGGACTGCACTCCCCTCTCACCCAGGTGCAACAGAACTTTCCTGATGACCTTCAAAGTTCTCTTGGGCTGGAAATTTGTTTCACTCTCTCTTTTCGTAGCTTCTGCTGTTCTAGAATTTGTTTAGTCATTTTTTAAAGGTATTTGGAAGGATTTGGGAGAGAGCTCAGGTGAGTCCCTGCCTTTATTCTACCATCTTGGCTTTGCCACTCCATGTCCCCATCACTGGAAGAGGAACAGTGTATCTTCCCACCAATGTTGTGTCATGGACCATCGGATTCAGGTTGGTTAGCTACAAGTCAAGTCAACAAGCATTTATTAAATCCCTACTACATGCCAAGCACTGTGTTGAATGCTGGAGATTCAAAGAAAGGCAAGTATGGTCTGGCTTCAAGGAGCTCACAGTCTAGTTGGGGAGACAACATCTAACAATTATGTTGATGCTCAGTTGTGTCCAACTCTACGTGACCCCATGGACTTTTGTCTATGGGGTTTTCTTGGCAAAGATATTGGAGTGGTTTGCCATTTCCTTTTCCAGTGTGCCCCCATTTTATAGATGAGGAAGTGGAGCAAATAGGAGTTAAGTGATTTGGCCAGAGTCTCACAGCTAGTAAGTGTCTGAGACTGGATTTAAACTCAGGTCTTTATGACTTCAATCCAGGCGCTCTAGCCATTGCATCACCTAGCTGTCCCTAAAAACTATGTACAAACAAGAAAGATACAGGGCAAATTGGAGATAACCACCAGAGGGAAGGCCCTGGCATTAAGAGAGATCAGGAAAGGCTTCTAATAGAAGATGAGAAGGAGAGAATTTCAGTAGAAATAGCATTGAGAGTTGGAAGAATGTCAGATTTAGAGTCAGAAGAACTGGATTCTCAGATCCTGCCTCATCCACCTATATGACCTTGCACAGGTCACGTAACTTCTCTGGACTTTAGTAGCCTCATCTGTAAAATGAGAGAAGGGAACAAGCCTTTATTAAGTGCCTACCAGCCTTAACCCCAATTACTCTGGTCCCAGGCCAAGCCCTAGTTGGTCATTACTTGGGCCTTGATTAGCTCAGAATGAATGTAAATAACAATTGTTTCTGTTTTGGCTAGAAAGGTCTTTCCCTCCCAGATTTTTTTTTTAAAGAAGCCATTCTTTGCATCATTTTTTAATTAAGCCTCAGTCATTGAATGGGCTTTGCCTCAGTCAAACTGAGACCTGTTAAAGACCTTAGCTTGAAAAGGCCAAGTCCTCCACTGCATCCTGGGCCATCTTCAGTCCTCCTGATCTATGTCTTGCCACTGGCTCTACATGGGTCCAGAGGAGAAGGTGAGGCTGGTGACTTCGCACAACCCTCCCTCACTAAAATCCAATTCACTGACAAGTCATAGCATCACCTCCCTGATATCATGGTGTTCTTTGAGAACGAAGGATAAAATAGCATTACGTGCCGGGCACTGTGCAAACATTATTGCATTTGATCCTTACAACAACCCTGGAACATGGGTGTAATTATTAATGAGGGGGTTGCATTATGTAATCTCAAAGGTTCCTTTCTATGATCGTAGAAAGAGGCTCCCCAAAGCAGAATGGAATAGAAATGAGAATGGCAATCCTATTTAGACAAGAGAATTTCCCCCTGGAGGCTTGTATGGAGCTCCAGAAATTCAGAGTAACTAGAAGAGCTGGTTGGGGTGGGTAGAGAGTGGAGCCGCTCATGTGTGTTTAGGGAGCTGTAGCTTCCAAACCACTTTCCCCAGTGGGTAATTTCAGGGAGATGTTCTTCTGGCCAATGTTCAGGCTTGGGTGGCTGCTGGGAAAGGGTTTATTTTAAAGCTGCTAGAACAAAGGGAGATGTGTCAAAGGCTACTTCATGTGGTTCAGCATGCAATTAATTATAAGGCTTCAGGGGGCAGTTAAGAAAACGAAGGGCTCACCAAGAGCTTCCTTGGCTGCAGAGGGCTATCTGAGGTGTCAGAAACACCCTCCGCTCAAAAGCCACCTCTCCTGGGAGGCCTTCCCTCATCCACCTGTCTGGAAGGGAACTCAGAGCTACCAGGGACATTATCAATCACCAAGTTCAAGGCTTCTTAACCTTTTTGTTTTTGGGGGGTTTTTTTTGGTTATGACTTCCTTTGGCAGTTTGGGAAAGCCTATGGACACCTCAGAATGTTGTTTTTAAATGTACAACATAAAATTTAGAAGATTACAAAGAAAATCAATTATATTGAAATACACTTATCTAAATACTTTTATACTTATTTTCATTTACATAAGTATTTATAAATATAATTTTATAACAATATTGTTATAATAATGCATAACAGTATATTACTTTTATATATTTACATAAAGCACATTCATTTATATTTCTATAAACTACATTTATATTTTATATATTTATATTTTATATTTATATAAACTACATTAATCCCAGGTTAAGAATCCTCACTTCTAGTTCAACATGCTCATTTTATTTTATTGTATTTAAATTTTTTTTTGAGACAGAGTCTGCCTAGCTTATCCAGGCTAGAAGTATAGAAGGCACTCATAGGACTAATCCCAGTTCCTAACAAGGAAACTTTAACCTACTCCTTTCATCTAGCCTGAGTCAACTCTCCCCTCCTTGGGCAGCCGGGCAGCCCTCTGCTCCCAGAGGGCTCACTATATGGACACTAGACTT